GGACATGGAGAGCATGGAGAGCGGGGGGGGGGGATTACAGAAGCAATTACGGGGGTGGGAGGGAGGCTTGGCGATCGTTCCAACGCCCTCGTACACGTTCACGCCCGGTATGTAATATATCTGGCTAAGGGTCTAGAAGCCCGGAGAGCGAAATGGTTGCTGCACAAGAGGGGGGTGAGGTACTTGAAGTTGGGAAAAACAGCGATTCGGTTACCGGTTTCACCGAGATTCTCAGCGGGGACGATGATCAATCCCCGAGCAAGATCACGCAACATGCGCGCACGCACAAAGCAACAAGAACGCAAGCTAGCATCCGAGGCCGCGAAGCGGTGTGCTGACTGACAGGGGTCGACGATGGTACCTACCCGTTATACCCAAAGCGCACAAATATCATTCCATGATGGTGATTTGCCGATTTGTCGAAGAGAGGATCTAGCAAAGCGGCTACATGCCAGAACTAGGCTGTTCGTTGAGACAAAGCGAACGTCCTTTCAGGATACTGCCTTTCTGATGCGACAATACCCGCCGGCTGCCGGCATTTCGTTTAACCGCCCGAGTGGGTGCGCCCCCCAAAACGTCCCCCATCTGCCTCTAGCGCACAATATTCTACAAGGTCGAGGTGAACAAAACAGCGCGAAAAGAAAGGAACAAAGCAAAAAAAAAGCCGACGAACATGGTCACATCCTCCTCCTGTATTGTACCTTACAGCATCCCCGGTGAAACGAACGGGTTCCGGGTTGGAGGGATCTCGGCTCTCGTACTCCACTTCCGCCGCCCACCGCTGCTGCTGCCCGCCACCGACGACGTCGCCGCCGGTACCGCTGCCGCGGCCTTTCCACCTCCCTTCGTTCTCCGTCAGTGGCCGCTGCCGCAGCGTGGCCGGCACGTCCAGGTTCGTCCGCCCGGGCACGAAGTCGTACTTGAGGTGGACGTACTGCCCCGGGTTGCTCTCACCCGTATCGTCATCACCGACAAGACCTCTCCTGTTGCCTCCTTTGGCACGACGACCACCGCTCTTACTGCTTGCGGCTATAGTACTACCACCACCGCCGCTGCCGTAGAACGAGTCTCCCAAGACGACCCCGTACCGCTCCCCCTCCCGCCACGCCGGCATTTTCTCGGGCGCCGTTTGCAGCGGCGGGTACGACTTCGTCGCCGGTGCCGCCGCCGCTGACGGCATCGCCCCGTCTGCGACGTCGATTCCCGCTGCCGGTGCCGTCGCCGTCGCCGCCGCGGTCGCCGCCGCCACCTCCACCGCCAGCGCTGCCGCCGCCGCCGCTAGCACCGCCGCCCCCGGCGCCTCGACGTCGGCTTCCGCTGCTGCTGTCGCCGACTCCGGTTCGTTGTCTTCTTCTTCTCCGAAGAGAGCCGCCATCGTCGGACCCTCTTCTTCGCCTGCCGGGGTCGCCGGACCGCCGCTCTTCGAGCCGGCCGACGGCGTCGGCTTGCCTGCATGCGACATGCGCGCTGCCGCGGCGGCGTTGGCGTCGACGACGACGCCGCCCCGCGGTTCCGGCGGTTGTTGTTGCCTTGCGGGAGGCAACGCCAGGTCGGCCGCGAGTCGCCCGCCACGGGGGGCGGCAGCAGCGCGGCGTTTGGCTCCTCCGTGCTGTTCTGGCCGTCCTCCCTCTTCTTCTTGTCGAGGGGAGGGAGGAGGGGAGCGGGGCCTCTTCTTGGCGTGGCTGCCGCCTGCCGTCGGTAGGGCAGACTCGGCGATGCCCCCGCCAGCTCTCGCACCACCTTCTGTCGGGCCTGCTGCTGGTGGTGGTGCTGCTGCTTCTGATCGTGACGTTGCCGGAACGGCCGTGGCCGCGCCTTTCGACTTCTTCTCTGCCGGCCGCGGTTTCTTCCCCGTCCGCCTCTTTCCTGCCACCGATTGTTTCGCAGGTGACTGCACGGCCGGTGCCTTCGTTCTCTCCCCGGTGGCGGGAATAAGGGACGCGACGGCCGCATCAGAAGCGGCGGCGGATTTCGAGAAAGACCCGTCGCTGCTACGCCCGTCGACGACGCCCGCACCCCTTTCGTGTCCAGGCTCCAAATCGCCCTCAACGGCGGCATGAGCAGCAGCAACAGCAGCAGCAGCAGCAGCAGCAGCAGCGACTGGAACGGCCGCTGTAGCGTCCGCCGCCGACTCAGCCGCAACAGCAGCTTCAGCGCAATCGGCTTCAACAGTAGTAGCAGCTTCAGCAGCAGCACAGCAGTCACCGGCAGTCTTCGAGGCAGATCCGGTCGTCGAGGAGGTGGCGGCCGTGACAACGCATGAGGAAGCGCAGGCGCTCCCGATTCCGGCGGCGCCGCTTCCACCGACGACCACCCCGGCCGCCGTCTCGGCGGCTTCGCCGCTGCCGCCGCCGGGTTGGGCGGTGGCAAGAGGAAGGGGGTGGCCGTCCGCGACGAAGCCCCGCATGACGTGGCAGGCCTTGAGGGCGGACACGAGCTTGCCGCGCCCCCGGAGGCGGCTGTCGTCCGGCGGCGGGCAGGCGGCGGCGGGCAGTCCCTCGGCCAGGTTGCAGCAGCAGGCGAACAGCGTGTGCTGCGCACAACAGACAAACAGGTGGACACAAGCACGCGCGGAGACGAAAGTACACCCACCCACGTGGTATACACAGCAGAGGGGTAAGATTGGAGCACGATGACCACACAGATGGGTGGAAAATGACAACGTTATCGCGCCGCCTTGGCGGGCGGGCCGATCTGGGGGTGTTCAGTACGAAACGGGAGAGGTCTATGTCAGTGAGAAGATGTGGCGCGGACGGGTCAACGGTAAGGCCGACCGGAGCGACATTGACACAGCCCGCCGGCGCAGCCTCACGCCGCAGTGCAGTACATCGCGCGAGGCGCGGCGGCGTGCGGCCGGCGCGAAAAGCAGGCAACACTAAACAGGGTCGTCCGCAAGAGAGGCGCGGGCGCCGAACACACTATCTTCAACGGAGGAACGTTTCGTGCGTGTTGTCCTACAAAGCGTCATGCGTTATGTCCTACTCACGCGGTGTTTTCGGCAAGGAAGCCGCCGCGCGCGCGCAAGATCAAACAAAGAGGAAACCCTTCGCGCAAAACAACACAAAACACAGAGTGTTGGTAAGTAAGAACCGCCCTGCCTCTCATCCGTCTCCGGCAAAACACTCCTTCTTAAACGTCTGTGCATACAACCAACTCCCAAAAATCCAGAGATGGCTGCTGTTGTCAACCGCGAAAGCTGACCCTTTGTTCTAAGGGTTATTATTAATGCAACGTCGAAATCGTTCTTTTTTAAACGGAACGGTTAAAAGAAAACCCGACTTTTTTTTGCTTGTTCTTTTCGTGATGTCATCGCAAAAAGTACGTTTCCTTCCCTGAATACACGCTTTGCTCGGCACACAACAGGTTGACATGGTATTGCTCACCATAGAGCAGCGATAAAAGCGCAATAAGCAGCACCCGGCACAGAGGACAACACACTTAGAAAGATCCCGTCCACCCGGCCTGCTGTTTTCAGTTTTCAGCAACAACAGGCGCACGGCAGAGTGTCGCAACCTGGGTGTTGCTTGCGATTTCTTCAGTTTGCCAGCTCATTTTTCACGGTTGCGACTCCCATCTTTGACCACCACCTACCCAAAGGTAGACGAGCTCAACAATCATAGGGCGGCAGCCGCGCTGACGGCCAGCATCACATAGATGGCCAATCCGAAAGAATTTGCGTGTTGGAGGCCCTGTTGCTCTACTGCTGCGTGACGCCGTGGATTGATGTTGATGTGTCCGACCAAAAACAGATCATCTCGCCGCAATTTTTCCAACGGCATTTTGGTGAGGTGGCACACGTCTCTCACACACCTTATTGAGCAGCACCCAAGCACTCAATACCCACGAAGCAGGACGGCGCCGGGAGGTGGTATCATATAGACAGCCGAACCGAAGGAATCAGCGCTTTGGAGGTCTTGGTGGTGCTGCTGTACTCGTTCTACTGTTTCCGTGTTTGCTATGTGTGATCGAAAAAAATTCCCCAGCACCAACAGCAGCAGTTGAAGACGAGAGCACCACGCAATGTCTAGTTTTGGACCAAGAACGGACTGAACGTCGCTTCTGCCGCTTGTCCATCTCCACAACAGACCTGGACGTGAGTCTGGCAGGTCTTTCTAGCGTTCTCAGTGATGTTACAGCGCCCGCGGTGCGCTTGTCCGATGCTTCTGTCAAAAACACGAATTCGTTTAAGTAGCAAGCCCCAAAAAAACACGGCTCCTTCTTTTCACGCTTTCGGGGAAAAACGCCTCCATATGTGTTCAAGAAAACACGGTTTCGTTTATTTTTTCGTGTTTTATTGGTCGATAAGAAGCACCCTAAGGGCATCCCATCCACGTCGGAAACGATTTTTCGGACCCGTCCAATCATGGTATCTTTCCTGGCGCGCGCACGCGCGTACAAGACGAACCGGGGCGGTTCCAACTGCCGCAGACTAGACAGCTCCCGGCGTGCCTGCTGCCGCAAGCCCTCACCCGAACGTTGGCGTCGTTGAGCGCCGGCCGGCGGGTCCATTCCCCTTCAGGGCCCCCGACGGCTCCCCGAGTCATGCACCGCAACGCCGCCGCGAAGGCCTCGGCTATGGTGGCATACGTCCGCGGCGCCAGAGTCGCAACCCTGGGGAGGGTGGAAGGATAGTAGGGGCAAGGGAGCACGACGACAGAGGGAATGAGAGGGGGAGAGCGGTGAACGAGGGAGGTATGCATGCATGTATGAAGAGATGTGTATCGCGAGGGGGGGGAAGACAGAGAGAGAGAGATAGAAAGAGAGAGAGAGAGAGAGAGAGAGAGAGAGAGAGAGAGCGACAGACAGACAGACAGACAGACAGACAGACAGAAGAGCAACCGGATAGGTAGAAGTGCGGAGTGTCAAGACAAAGGAACGTGTTCCTCACGACGACAAACCTCTACATTGAAGTGAACCCACCCTTCCCCTCTCCCGCACACTCTTCTCTTGCCTTCGAAGGGCCCCTATCGCCTCGATGCAGATGCAGGGCAGAGACAGGTACACCTCGTCCTTCTTGGCCTCGCCCCCCGAGACGCACATCAAGAGCTTGTCCACGTCTTTTTTCCCCATCCTGTCAAGGTTGTCTGAGTTCGGCGCCGCTGCCGCTTGTTCTGTCGTTTGCTGTTGTCGTCGTAGTTCCGCCGCCGCCGCCGCCGCCGCCTGGCAGTCGTAACGATACAGACGGCGAAAGCACGCGCACCACCGCCAGTGTACGCCACGTTAGGCCAAGTATTCGTCGTAACAGGTATGTTCATTGGTGGAAGAACGGCTCCTCCTCCTTTCTTTCTCGTTGTCTCACACTCTTTTCCAGGGAGTGAAGTTGTGAATGTGAATCTTGTTGTTGTTGTGTGGGATCCTGGGCTCAAATTAATTTTTGGTGCACCACCTCTCTCTCCAACTTTCTCCGGGTTCGGGTTTGCGATCAGAACGGAACGGTCCAAGCGGAATCACTGCAACTGCGAAGGCAAGCACCTAGTATGCGATGAGTGTATCAATCCCTACCTCGGGTGGTTTGGGATCGAAGGACGGAGTCGAAAAGCAGGGCGGACAGCGTGTGAAGCAGGACCAGCCGGCAAGTTTTTTCACAGTCCTACGCAACAGCTTTTGTAGACACTCGCATTTTAAAGTCCACTCCCCGTTTATGGACAAAACCAAATCTCAGAAGCAGGGTGCCCCACGGAATACAATAAACAAGGGGAGGTTCCGGCCTCAGGGACACTTCCCTGCGTTCAGGAAATTTTCAAAAAAACAAAAACACGGGTATTCTTAAGGCGGGGTCGACTGTACCGCTCCCAGGGGGGTGCATCCCGTAGTCAGTCAAAAACACATATATTACGACCCATTCGAACGAATCCCTCTCGCCGACCGAACGACATAGCGTCGAAGAAGAGGGACATCAAAGTATGCGCCGCTCGGCAGCGCCGTAGCGAACATCGCCATCGCCATCATGAAAAATTCCCACCCTTCGGGCAGGAAAAATAAATAGACTGCGAAAAATGGCAGGGCACCATTGCAGGCTGCCAACCCACAATTATCGCCGGCGGCAGCGGCAGCGGCAGCGGCAACGGTACGGCCCGAAAACATCAAGATCCAAAGCGGAGCAAGCGGCAAGCAGCCGGTACAACAGAACGCAAGGTCTCACCGAATTTTCGTCGGCTTCGCCACCGCCGTCGAGGGCAGGAGACACGGGCGCGAAGCAGGCGGCCGCCGTGAGCCCCCTCAGCCTGGCCGCCGCCTTGCCTACCGACGGGTCGGCGGAGCACTCTCGGCTGAGCCTCTCGATCGCCTTCCTCGCCAGGCTCACGGCTATGTCAAGCACGCGGACGTGCGCGCTGACGGCATCATGATAGGGGTGTGACGGAAAAAAAAAGTAAAAAAAAAAAGAAAAACGACGAAGACGGAAGGGGACGGAGGGTGTGCGGCTGAGTTGTCCAGGTACAGGTATATCGTGCATGTTCTTGCAGCGCGAGAGTCAACGCCTCCGCGGGACGGCGTGAAAAGCCGCAAACAAGCGCGCAGAAACAAACACGCAGCGGGGCAACATAGTTGCGTTTTTGCCGTTGTTGTTATTGTTGTTGCTGATAGGTTTGGGATTAGGGTGACTGCTGTGGTGTGCGTTTTGCTCGTGGCACCCCAATCTTCCTACCGGGCTTTTCGAAATCATCGGCAATGTCGAGCGGGAGAGAGAGAGAGAGAGAGAGAGCTCCGGGGTGTGGACATTCACCATTATCCTCTGCAAACAAGGGGCGTTTTCGGATAGGATAAAAAATGTGCTCCATCGCCAACAACACCCCAAGGTGTTCCAGCTTGTTGCTGCTGAGGGGTACAGTCCTTACTTGTTCCATGGTTGCATTGTGTACAAGAGGCGAAAAACCCGGTTCCAGCGGGTTCATTGCGCAGTAACTCACTCACGGAGCATCCCCTCCCCCGGAAATTCCTGTCTTTCTCATCATGCGCCCCCACGACCACAGCCGGAAAGGCTTGTGTTCAGCGAGCATTTTCGTTCGAACGTTGGCACCGAAATCTTCGACCAAGCCATACATCGTCGATAAGGGCGCGCGGATTGGTAGGGCTTGCTTGATACAACCTCCGGAGTGCAGGATAGCACAGGAGAATGTCTTCTCTGCACAGTCGATGTCCCTGATTAAGGCCGCCATGTGTCACGACAAAACACCGGCCTTCAACAGGAACCCCGGCCTTGTTCAGAGTATGAGCCAACTTGAATATTCCATTTGCGCCGACCGATTTCACCGGCCTCAAACAGGGCAACCGGCCGTAAATAAGCAAGCACAAACAGGGACCCCCACCGAAATACCGTCGCAAACAGCCTACACAATGACGCACGAACCACACTCGGCATAACTTGTAGATCGTAAGATATAAAAAAAAGGAAATACAAGTAAATAAAGATGCAAAAAAAGGCATGGAGAAAAAGCTGCTCTGCGCGCCCTCACCTGGTGCTGAACATCCCGCTCCCCAGAGAAGACTGCTGGAGGAAAGCGTTGAAGGAGCCAAGCAGGACACGCAGCAGCCGGATGGCCCTCTCGGCGCCTGTGCCTGAGCCTTCGTCCTGGGCCTGTCCCCCGCTGCCGGCAGCGACGCCGCTGCTGCTCTTGCTGCTTCTGTTTTTGCTCTTACTCTTGCTCTTGCTCTTGCCCTGCTTTTCTAACCGCTTCGCCTCGATCTCCATGGCCTGGGCCACCTCGCACAGGCTGGCGACATGCTTGGAGCAGAACCACCTGAGGTGCATCACAACGTCACAATCAACATTCGTACCACCAACACCAAGGACAAGAGCATTAGAAACAGCCCAGAGAGCATCTGCGACAAACGGCGAGAGAACAAAGAGGCACAAAGAGTTACACCGAGCAAGACCTGTGTGTTCTCAAGAAAACCGCACCCATTTTGTAGCGTCTAAACATGCTGCAGCTGTTTCCAGTCGATTTCGGCAACAGTATGTCAACACCAGCGTTCTCGGCAGCAGCAGCGGCGGAGAACCAACGGTTCCTATTTGACGGACAGAACGACCGGTGGCAATCGAGCTAACGTACCATGGCAAGAATACCTTCGACTCCGCTCCGGCGCCCCCTTCCGTTCCGACTATTCAACCGAAGAGACCCTGCTCGAGTGAATAAACACGACCTAAAGCAGCATCGCTAGTTACAAACCAGTCGGTGCCTCCACTATGGTGTGCGACGATGACATTCCCATACAGCCATATACCCACATAGATAGCTCGATAGATGGGCAGAGACGACACAAGGTCATGCATGAATGAAGCATCCATGTTGATACAGCGTTAGCTATTCAATGGAGGTCCCCACCCCCGAAATTCAAGCAGACGGCACGCCGGATTCCAGCCGGAGACAATTCATGCGCATGACATGCGTCAGCTTGACAACAAATACCTGACTACTAGGACTAAAGACCACATACAGCAGCATCGCTGCGGGTAAAGCGTATACCTGACTAGCGCTATCGCTTCAGGGAAGACCGCCTCCGAGGCCACGCAGATGAGGGCCGCCTGAGGCGCTCCCTGGGAGATGGCGGCCACATCCGTGTTCTCTCCTCCAGCTGCTGCCAGCGCGCTGGCTGCCTGAAGATATGCCGCCTTCGACTGCACAAGGAGCTTCTTGACCTGTTCGGAGACGGACGAGGGGGTACGGAGTTCCATTCATGGCATTACAACGGCGTCCATCGATTGTCGCTCAGTCTTCATCCATAATACGTGAAGGTTAGTATCAAGCTGTAGGTTTCCGGTGCTCATGCTCAAAGCATGAGAACGCGCAACAGGCAGATAAAACGAGCACCTCATGTGTAGTCTGTGGCACACCCACGCTTACCCTATCGACGCCGCCGCCGTCCCCAGGAGCAGCTTCGAGTAAGCTCCTCGCCTGCTCGATCTGCTGGAGGCCCTGATGCGGGAGCGCCTCTCCGGCAGTGCTCCCGGGGGTAGCTGCTTGGCCCTTGCTGTTGGTAGGGATTTCGCCCTCTTGGATTTCCCCATCTTCCTCCTCCTCCTCCCCCTCGCCGTTCCCAACGGGCTTCATCGTGGCGTCTTGTCGCCACACCCGGAGACCTGTACACACGACAAAACAGAAGGCGGGGGGGGGGGGTGGTACTCATAGTCGTGCATGCCGTAGCCGTTAGACCATTGACCTCGCATCCCTACAAAGCCGAGACGGAGCACGCGGGCTTCGCACCGGACCGGGCTCTCATATTACCAAGCGCGAAGCGCCGTGAGGTATTCGGTGAGTCGCGTGAAGGGTGCGCTGCATCCTGCTCAGGGTGTTCGGCATCTTGTGCTTACTTCCTTGCGTACGGATGACAGCTGCGTATGACTTCATATATTTTCTGGTGCTTCCACTTCCATAGACAGTTGTAAGCACTGTGTAACTGCCTCGAGGGTGCTTGACCAATTTAACACAACGTGGTGCGATCATCCCCTTTGCGCGGAGTGAGGGTTTTCGACCCCGCACAACATCATGTACTCGACCATCATTGGTGGTTACCGCAAAAATAAAAACCAAAGGCAAAAAAAAAGAAGCGGTAACCTGGTTGTCGAGCTCACGAAGTGATCGGCTTGTTTTACAACGTCGCTGCCAAGCGACGAAAACCAAACCCCGATGGCAAACTCGAGGGGGGAAGGGGGGGGGGCGATAGTTTACAGATGAGACAAAACAAGCACATGCGTAGGTTCTGCCAACGGATGCGAGCCTGCGAATCTACGAAAATTGTAGCGAGCCGCGGAGCGCGAAGCGCGACCGTTCTTTTCCCTCCGTCTGAGGAGGAAAAAAACAGGCTCTATCTACCAGGGCCCCAAGTTGCATAAACGACCGCCTGAATTTTGCATCTTTTTCGACCAGCACGAGGTCTAAAGAGCACCGATTGACGATCTGCCGGCTTGTGAGGAACAAGAAAAATAGGGCGATCTTCACCACACCGGTTTGGTCGTGCTCCGACAACAGATGGCCGTGGTCACCGGCATCTGCATCCAAATAACATAGGAAATCTCCACCCCGACCCCCGCGGAGTTGTAGAGAAAATGCAAGCAAAGGCATCGTCGATCTCCCACCCAACAGACACACGCGGTTGCTTGGTTTACACCGGGAGAAACAGAGGAAGCACTCAGCGAACCACGTAACACCGATTGACGAGACAGCTGGCGGGGGAAGGGAGCCATACACAGAGCTAGTGGCGGATGCCATTGTCATTGCTGTTGCTTAGGTGTGTGGACAGGGATCATCAGTAAAACCCAACCTTTGGCCAGAGGAGAAAAATCATACGACTGATCCCAGCAGACGCGGCGGGTTTTTTTCGGGCTGTCCCACACTCTCGCGCTGGCAAGTTCTGAGGGTCCTAGATCCTCCTGGTCTGTATCAATCGCCACACAACACGGAGCATGGACACAGCTCGTGGCGCATACATTTGTTATTGCTGTTGCTTCGGTGTGCGGGGAGGGGTCACCTCCGATATGGATCGCACGTATGCATATGCATATGGCACACCGGTCTACTGCTGTACCGTCAGTGACATAAGGTACCACACCCCCGTGTATCGATATATTTAAGCTAGATTATTCCACGACGAGCAGGATGCGCAAACCCAGCGAGACGTTGTCGGAAAGCTCCTGACGAGACGGTTCCCACACCACCATTTTCGGCACCGCCACTCTCGGTGGTGTGGAGCAACCGAGCTTTGGAAGTTGATCCAGGGTGTGGTATCTTGTGTCATCTACGGAAAGACTACTGCTGTATGCGTACGAATCCCGAGGGCCGTCCGTGCGTTGCAGAGGAAGAGCCTCTTTTATGTCCTTGTTGTTGATGATGACTCGGGTTCAATATTCAACGGCCGGGTGCACTCGCCACCGCAAAAGGTGTCACAGATAGACTACTGCAAGGTATTGAGTCGGCTACCCCGTGGCTCATTACCCCGCGCTATCTACAGGTCTTTCGTGCACAATGGTGTCATCCATAGCTGCCATTCGCTCCAGGTGTGGGGACGGGTGGCAGGTATGCATGAATCGAGTGGCAATCACGTTAGAAGTTATTTCGTAGGTCTCACAACTGTGTGGGTATCAAAACCGGGAAACTTAAACTTTCAAGGTACAGTACAGTAGACTGACATATATCCACGCTGTTTGTGTTGAGCCGTTGCTGTTTTCTCGGGGTCGTGCGGAATATTCAACGACCACCGGCCGGCGGCAGCAGCGTCCACGGGCCAAGCGCACCTCGAGTGAGCACAAAGGGAACCCCCAAAATAACCACATGCATGGCAAGGGCACCCCCCGGCTAGAAGCGCTGCAAGTTGTGACCGTAGCGGGGGGAACGGTGTGGTGGACAGCCTATCATTGGCTGCTGTGCAGACTATTGACAATGGAGACGAGACTGTTGTGTTGGACGAACGAGAGACGGCATCGCGGCAAACACTCATGCTGCGGGTCACGCATGGCGCAGGGGGTTCATGCTGACGTGATTGCAACTAGCTCGCACAAGACATGCTCGCCGTTATACACTCACACGCTCACGCGGGGGACATTGACTTTATTTTGGGTTGCTGCGCGTGTTCTCAACTGACAACGGCAGCGGGAGGGTTCCTTCGTTCCTTCCCGCTCTGAGCTTTGCCCTCAAGCCTGTGCAGGGCCAGTAGTGCTACTGGCTGCTGCTCACCTAGACTGCCAGAGCGGTTGATTCGACACGGAAGACGCCCTCCAATCCCTTCCAGCAGCGATCGACTCACTGTGCATTCGCTGGCACTCCGCTCTCTCTGTCCACGGGAGCTGGGGTGGCGTGGGGAGGTGTTGTGGGTGCTGTCGCGTGCCGGTTCGGGACGGAGAGAACCAAATTGAGAACCGCTGTTTTGCGAGAGTGTGTGCCGAGTGCCGAGTGTCGAGTGCCGAGCTAGAGGTAGGCGACTAGTCCATGTCTGCATGGCCTGGTGCCGACTCGATTTGCTCGTGAGACTCACCCTCAGCATCTCCCTCTACCTATTCGTCCAGTGCCTGTCTATCTTGGCTTCCGACGACCTTGCGTTGCCCTCGCAAGACCGCCCTAGAGGGAACCAGAAACGCGCTCAGGTCACGAGTTTAGAGGAAACCACGGACGGGCCTGCACGGCATGGTATGCATATGAAGGCAGCATCGCTCACACCAACAGCAAGAGGATCATCGGTAGCTGCACTTGGTTCCGCAGGGGCTTCGTTGGCAGTAGCAAGCGGAAGAAGCCTCCGGAGCTTCACACCGAGCGGTAGCGGTCGGAAGTGGCAACACAGCAGCCGCCGCGGCAGTAGCGAGCGGTTGAACGGGAGTGTCGGCAGCAGTTGCGGTGACGGCTGGAACAACAGGAGCGTAGCTGGTGGTGGTGGCGGCGGCGGCGGGGCACGGGGAGCTCTGTCGTCCCTTGCCCCTGCGGTCGCTCCGCGTGCTGGCACAAGTGCACTGTTCGTTGTTTCTTCCGTCGACCCCGCTGTTTCTCTCGCCACCACACCCGAGGCAACACTGGCAGGGAGTGCTGCTGCAGGCGCGGAAGGATCTGTCTTTGCGGCTGAACGCGCTCGTTGCAGGTGTGCTGTGAGAGGGAAGGGCCGAGTACCTTGATTGTGGTTGAGACTGTGGATGACGTTGACTTTGTGCCACTTGATGGGCGTGCCTGTTGCGAAGGTCAATGTTAATCGATTGATTCGTGAAAAAGAGTCGGCACGCAGTAGATGCAATCGTCGTCCACAAGCAGTATCGCATCAGCCTGCTGAGTATCGGTACTCGCTTTTATCATATTGTTTTTGGTGGCCAGATCAACCACAATTCCAAGCCACCCTCTCTCTTATCTAATCAAGTAATGGCAGCTGCATTCTAGTCACTTTGCTGCTCTTCATTGTCGACAGACGTTTGCCATGCTCTACATAAGTGGAAAATACGCTTGGAGTTCCTAGTCTCGACGACGAAAAACATCAAACTCGCCCCAGCTCTCTCCGCGACAAGAGTATCCACGGCAACGCAAAATGAAAATAGACGCGTGTTGTACTTCGTTCTAGACATAAGCAACAAAACATGGCTGATAGACTTGCGTTGTACCGGTACCAGCAACACTGCCAGAACGGTTCAAACTTTTGCCCACCAAGCGCCCTGTTCATGGTCACGCCTTTTCGCCCAACCATTGCCAGGCCGTTGGTGCGAACAACCCCCCTTCGGTTCAACGTTGCCAAGCCCAGCAGGACCGAGCTCTTTCTCGCACCACACGCAAATATCCGGGCTCCAGGTAAGCTCTTGCGGTCCGGCCCCGCAGAAATGTCCTCATCGTACAGCCCTGCCTACAACACCGCATCACACAGCACCGCGTACAGCTGAAGCAAGTACGTACCTAAGGCGTTGCTTGTCACCGAAAGTGTGTGTGTTTTTTGTTCTGCATACATCACGTATGGGCTCACAGCTGTCTGGTCAACTTGTCTCCCCTCGCCCATCAAGCAAAACAAAGCGTTTCAGCCATTGCAAGCGACCAATGTGCCGTGCTCGGTCTCGAACGGTCGTAGGGTACTTCTTCCAATGTGCAAGGGAGCAAATACTTGATATCCCCTCCTTGACAATTTGTTGGAACCTCGCACTGTAGGCCCATCATATTCGGCTGCTGACACGGGGTCAGCAGATACGACCGAAATGAGGTGCGGGGGCGGCGGGGGCGGCGGGGGCGGGGGCATGGTATCGAGGTTCACGTGGCTGGAGTCCGTCAACTCCACCATGGACGAAGTCAAAACCCTCATCGTCAATCAAGAGGTATTTCCGGAGGGAGGGCATATCTGGAGACTAAGAGCACGGCTCGTAGGAATCGAAGATTCCCCGCTTGCAAATGTTGTGCCATGCCCTTGTCTGCTATTCTTTTGGGGGTGTGATGCTTGGCCGATGCACAACCGGTTGTGTGAAACACGCCGCATGTCGCGCATACGTACATCCGTTCCCAGCGCGTATCTCACCCTTTTGGATGTTCACCAAACGAGATATATCACGCTCTGTTTAATATCGTGACGAGGCATCACGCTCCGTTTAGTATCGTAGTCGCCGCGCAAAACCGGCAGTCATGGGCTTGATGATTATTTCTCGAACGGCGCAACCCCGCCCACCGTGCCGTGTGGCTGTTAGGGAAGCGACGCGAAACGCGTGTTTGCTGTGGCAGCGAGAGAACAGCTTCGCGGGAGAGGGACGAAGGGTCGGGCTTGGATAGGCCTCCCTGGAAACGTTTTTCTCACTGTGGCCATTCCGCTAGACAGGGTCCCCGTACCGCTGAGCCTTATTCCTCTTAGGGTCGGCACACTAATAGCGCCAGGTGAGCATGGAAGGTACTTCGAGAGACGGAGAGAGGACGCGAGGTGCTTTGCTGTAAATTTCACCTCGTGCAAAATCTCCCCCTGCAAGCAGCACCCCGAGAAATGACCATGTCACCGTTTTCAGACTAGAGTAGAGTGTTGGCTTGTGAGGCTTGGGGGTGATGCCTTTGGATTCGCTCGCGGTTGTCAAACGCCTGTGTGGGATGGTGCTTCTTCGTCTGTCCCGATTACTTGTTCGTCCTCGTACACGGTTCTCGAGCATTGACCACCACCACGTTCACCATTGCAATCATTGCATCGCCTACCGGCTGGCGACCATCTCGCCCATTCCCGGAAGCGCCCCTCTTCCTGATCCCGTTCGACCGCACCGGATCTCGAGAGAAGAATATCATCTCGAGTAACGTCGGCCCGTCTCTCCCCCCCTAGCGTGCTCTCGTGACGATCCTTCCCAGCTCTACCTTTCCTCGGCCTTGTTTGAGTTCGATCCTCCCCGATGCTGCCACCCCTTCCTCCTGGCGCAGAGATACAACGGCGACTTCCAAGGCATCGCCAAGAAGAGCGGCCCCCGCTTTCTCCGCCTCCATCTCCGTCCGCGTCTCCCCGAGAAGCGAGGACGGCGGAGGCAGCGGAACCCGAACCGGAACCGAAACCGGAACCGGAACCGAAACCGGAACCGGAACCGCCTCGGGTGTCGCTCAAGTGGCCGAACGACGTCCTTCTCGGCGGCTCCAAGGTCGCCGGAGTGCTGATCGAGGCGGAGCTACCCTTTCTGCTCGTCGGAATCGGCGTGAACGTCAGAAACAAGCCGGAGGTGCCCCAGAATGGTCCCGACCGTGGCAGGCCCGCTGCTTGCCTTGCCGACTTCGGGGCGGACAGCACCGATGAGGTGGGGGCCGTTGGGGACGAGGATTGATTAACGGATCGGTGTTTTGTGTCGTTGGTTTTTCTTGCAGCCGTACATGCAGCGAGCGAGACAAACGCGTCGTTTTTTGCCAAGCCAAAATTTCGCGTTTTGCAGCTGACCTCCCTCCCAATGCTCAACGAAGCGTCCCTCGACTTCGTTCTTTTCCTGACGACAACCGTGACTCCCCCTAAAATGCGAGTGCTCTCGTGCTTTCCGTTCAACAGTTGCTCGGTTCCGACTTTGTTCTTTGTTCGCCAACATGCCATTCCTTTCCACAAGGAACTTCAACAGCCTCCCTCTCCCCACCCACACTCACCCATCCCAACAAGGCGGTGAGAGAGCTGTCCGCGGCGCTGACCGAAAAGCTATGCTCCTGGGCCTCCGGGACGGATTCGGCGTCCACCGCCGTGGCCGAGTGGTCCCGGTGGGTGGACTGGTCCCTGCCGCTGGAGATCAGGGACGAGGGGCGGGCGGTGAGGCCCATCGGAGTCGCGCCGGACGGGCGGCTACGGGTGGTGGACCCGGCAACGGGCGAGGAGGAACTACTCACCACGGAGTACCTCCTTTAGACCGCGAGGGCATTGTTTCGCTGGTGTACCTTCTTTTTGACCGCGCGCAGCCTTTTTTCGTCTTGTTGAGAAACTCTCACAACGGCGATTGTTGTATGGCTACCGGGGAATAAATCTGTTTTTTTTTCAACAGAGGAGGAGGGGATGAGTACAAGAAGCTGTTCGCCTAGTCTCCGCCGAGACTCTCCCCACACTATTTTCGATAACGGGGCACCCAATTTGAGTTGCATCCACACATCTTTGCTTTGTTGTGAAGATTTCGTGTCTCCGTGCTCTACCAGCTCTGTCTTGAGACCTTTCGGCAAGGCCACTTGGTAGAGGTATGGCATTTTTTAGGGTGTTCCATGGATCACGAAAACCACTTTTCGGCAAGACCAGTCTGTTGTCGTGAGACCCCGATTTATGGGAACAAAATCTTGTCGATAAATCTTGATCTTGGCCAAGATCTGCCAGTTTCACGATTTATGGGGGCGAAATCTTCCGATATATCTTGGACAAGATTTTTCGACGCCCGAAATCTGCCGTTTCGAACAAATCTTGGCCCAAGACCTGTCGAAACGAGCCTTCCGACAAATCTTGAGGCGTATAGAAGCCGAAATCAAACCATTAGACTAGGCTGACTAGTCTAATGGTTTGATTTCGGCTTCTATAAAAGTTAGTCGTGGGGTTCGTGAGCCCCGTCACTTTCACTTCCGAGGAGGGTGACTCCCCTTGCCAGCGCTACTATCCGTCCAATCTTTATTTCGCTTCATATCGCTCGCCACCCACATCCTGCAGAATGTTCCAGGGTCCACGAGTCCTTCCGTCGCTGACTAGTCTAATGGTTTGATT